TTTTTTTTTAAATAGGACCATTTGGCAAGGCCTTAGCCATCTCAAGATGTATGCTAAGCAACATTACCTCGTCTCGAATGTTGAATATCCTAGACAATGATGGGTTAACTTACTGACTAGGCAAGCAAAAAAGTTATCATTTTTGTATGAAAAAATTGAAATGTCTGAAAAATTCATGCAAATATACCGTGCTTGCCAGTGATGATCGTCAGGTTCATTAATTTGTGGACTTTAATTTCGTCAGTAAAATCGTATGAATCTACAGTTCCCTGCCCATAAACCACCTTCAGGATCTTTGTTTGTGGATTTACATGTATTGACATTGAATGCTCCATGCCATTATTGACACCTGCAATTTCGGTGATTCAGAATGTCACATTCCAAAATTAAAAAAAATTTTCCTTTTTCTAACTTTTCCTTTGGGTTCATTAGTGAAAAATGTATTCACTTCATCCGAGAAAAACCTTCATTTCTTAATAAACAGCTTTTGAGGTTTTCGTCACTATTCCCCAATTCTTTCTCAGTCATGTAAAGAAGTGAGAACCACAAACCAGGCAGTTGTCTTTGTGTCTTTTTGAGAAGTTTTCCACTGCCGTCAGCCAGTTCTATCACCACAGCTGCATTGTCGATGTAGGCGGAAAGCTGAAAATTCATCCTAGTTTTTGAAAAAAATATTTCTCGCACTGATATTTGTCTTTGCATATGCATAAAAATATGAAAAAGTGCATTTTTGGGCAATCTTTCGCCATAGCAATCTTTCGCCATGAAATCTAAAATTTGATTTTATTTTTAACTACTTATCAAACAGTAAAAAATGATAAGTTTTTTTTTCAGAAGATCTCTTGCTTATCTTGGAAAATTGTCTCCTCATTGTCTCATGAAGAATTGTTTTCAAGGTTTAACTACTGATTTTTCAGCAAAAAAAGAACACACATGCGCATACAATCGGGTTTAACTGACAATTATCCTTCGACAGTTAGCTCGTACGAATCTGTACATGGGTTAGCTTTAATTCATAGTATGTTTCTCCAGCTAGCCTATCCTGTTGTTTTAAGCGATTTCGATGCTCGCTTCGTCCCCAGAGAGGATTATTAGTTCAGCGGTTCTCGAACAGAAGAAGTACTTAGCAAATGTTTAGCCTTGTTGGGTATCCGCTACTGTTGAGTTGTAGCAAGTACTGCGCCGGTAAAAATGCTTCATATATTCAAAATCTCACTTGAAGTTCCAAATTTTTTTTGCTTTTTAAAAATATCCGAAGTTTTTAAAAATTACAAATATTCAAAATTTTGCTAAAATTTAAATGCAGTTCTCACTAAAAAGTGAAAGTACTGTTCACTATCGAAATTTTCTGCTAATGATTCAACATCCGGGTGATGTAAGCATCCGCCTCATTATCAAGGGCACAGTGCCTCATTAGCCGAAGTATTATGACTCGTAATCTTCGGTGCCGTAAGTGAGCTTTCAAGTACTCTAGTGGTAACCATTTGGTCATTCGTTTCACCATCTATTTCTCAGGTTGAAAGTAAAGATTGAATTAAATTAGGTAGCGGTTCCTACTTCACTTCAACGAGAGGTGGAGACCTTCAACGCGAGGTGGAGACCTAACTGTGCGCGCCATAAAGAAAAGCTAACGTGGTCGTCTAATGGGAAGTCAAAAAGACAACAGATGGACAGAACGGATTATCCAGTGATACTCATGCGATGTTAAAAAAAAACACAGAGAAGGCCGCTAATAAGATGAAAAAATCCACTTGAAAGCCTGTGTGGAAATTATGTAAATGAGAAAAGTTCACAGTGAAGAATGAATTTGCTAGCTCCATCGGTGACGAAGAACACTCGATGAAACAAAAGCGGATAAACAACACTGCGGCCGCTTTTTTGAAGAGAAAAAAATACAAAAATTCACAAGTATAAGTATGATCTAAACTGGCGGACCGGATGAACTAAAAAAGGATTCTTCAAATTCAGTCATAAACTGGGCAGAATTTGAAGAAGACAAGCACATTTGAATAGTAAAATGGTTAGATGTGATCATTCCAGAAAAGATTTCTCCAAAAAAATATGCTAAGACAGTGTAAAACGCTAACTTACGGAAAATACGGTTTCTTGAGCTATTTGAGCTATTAGTGTTATTAAACGACCACTAACTGATCGTGTACGTATCCGGATCGGCAGTATTATTTGTGAACCATCACCTAAAATGAGCAAATAACGCTCTTTTCCCACGGAAAAATGGCAGAAGCCTCAACTAACAAGATTACATATTTCAGTTACTGATTCATTTAAGTGTAACTAACGATATATTTGTTTTGTTAGAAACGGAATTGTTCATATCAATTATCAGTGGTTTTTGTGACTGATAAAAAATTTTTTGCTGAAAGATCTAAAATAGAATAACTTGTTGGAATACCATAACGGATTCCATATTCGTCCCCTATGATAAGCGAAGGCAACTGCGAAATAGTTCGACTGGTAGCAGATGCTTACAGCAACTACCCCCTGGCAAGGATGTTGATGGCCCAACTTTTTTGGTGGTTGCTTACGAGCGAGCTGATAGTAGATTTGACTCCCCGACATACGTCAGTACCAAATTACCATCGATGCAAATGAATGAATTTCGAGAAGCTTTGAATTTTGAATTTTATAAAAGCATCGTTCAAGCTGTATGCCATACCTACAACAACCGGTGTATTGTTACTTGCATCTGCACTTTTTGCGTGCACACTTGCTTGACCTTAATTGCATTATCAATCGCTGGTCAGGCTGATTTTGGTACATGTCACCCAAGCCGGAAAAAAAGCGGCAGAGTGCCTTACCGATACGTTTCGAACTGCCAGTGCTTGCAAGTACGGTGCTCCAGCACTGTCTGGTTCGTTGCCACCCCCTAACTACGATAAAATGCCTAGGTCAAAACTTTATGGGACCACAAAACTCATTTCACCGATGAGTGGTCATTCGCTGAACATATTAATGAATTTGCCACAATATTCAAATTTTTCGAAGAACACACATACCTTCGTAATCCCAAGTAACTGGCGCATGCTCAATAAATGATGCGTTGCTGAGCAGAGTGATAGTTTTTGCCGGAATCTCACTCTGAGCAGTTATTTCGTGGGTTGCCAATGTCCAAAAAAATAACAACAACATTTTGAGCAAACTCCACTTGCCAGAATCTTAATAATTTTTGTTTCAGTACTAATTTTGTAATGCACTTTATGGCGAAATCAGCTGGCCTTTTACTATCTGCATTTGTAGCGAAAAGAAACGCGTACGATGAAACAACAGCGGAACAATTCATCAAAGTAAATATTGCAGTACAGTGATTTTTTGGTCAGTGTTTTTAAATTCCTATTTTTAAGCCACTTTTCCTTTTGCCGTAGCTATGCAATATTTTAAAATCGCGAAAGATGTAAAGGATGTCGTCAATGAAATGAAAAGATCCGCATGAACGGCTGTAAGGAATTAGGTGTTTGAAAGAAGATCAAAATAAAGGTGAAGAATTTGCTAGTTGCATTAGTGGTGAGGAAAACGCGAAGATGTAAAAACGGGTAAGTCAGTACGTCTTTTTTAAAAAACATTTTTGATAATAAAAGTTTTTGGCCAGTTTTTTTAATATAAAAGAACTGAAATGTTGGTATTTTTTATCTCATAAATATCATGTCTATCACCTGTGGGTTACTCAGGGTGGTCTTATTTAGTATTAACAGCTAATGTGGGCTGTTGAGGACAAGAAAGTTTAATACACGCGCATATGTTTGAAAAAGACGGAATTTTTACTTGGCTTAATTTTTGGGGCCAAAAAGTTCAAATCGTCAGCAGACTAATCGTCAGGCAATACTGTTTAAAGCAACTGAACAGGTTTCCTGGTGAAAACTTGGGAAACCAGATTATGACATACATTTGGTCCAAGCATCCATTTACAGCCATTAGAAAATTACTTGATGCCAAGCATCATTAGCATTTAAAATTTTGAATTCTTTTTTATCTTTGCCAAAGTCAAATGCCAACGTCAATCGGGAGAAAGTTACTTTCTTTGAATACAGTGAATTATTGATATTTCTTCAACGACCCTGGCAATTCCGTAATACTGTATACAAAAAATTCTAAAAAGGAGCTTTTTACGAAAAAATTCGAAGACCGTGCAACGAGGAGATGACTGTTCCGACTAAAGTGACCCTAATGTCAATAAATGATAAGCATGCTTCGTCTCCATATACGCTGCTTTTAAACCTCCGCAAATCTTACAGCTTTTTTTTCTCTGCCCTCTTATCACTCGCTTGTTAGAAGCAGATGCAGGCTACACATTTGCTCTCCTTCCCCCGTCCCCTCTCCCTCCTCCTACCCGGACCGTCACGGAGAGGGAAACTGAGTATTCATGCCGAAAGCTTTATTAAAATGGAGGTGGGGAGTAGCCCTACTAAGCAAAATATCGAGGACTCAACTTCGCCAGTAAAACAACTAGTCCCTCAACAGTTCGTTCATTCGCTTCAATGGTAAATTGGTACTGACATATGCCAGGAAATCAAACTTGCGATCAACTTGCTTTTAACATTTTCAAAAGAATAGTCAGCAACTAGCTGCTGCTGGCATTTGCTAACACTTGGGCTACTTGTGCCTTTCACAGAAAACGAATGCAGAGAGAATTTTTGACATCATTCATTGTTCACTGAATTAATGTAGAAATTTTTTGTTCACGAAAATAGTTGATAGTCAGGTGTCAAGTTTATTTTACCGCGTCAAGTGCCAGGTGTCAAGTTTATTTTATTTTATCGGACAAGGTGAATGTGAGTGATCTGGAATCAGCGCTGTGTTCGACTTCATTATTTTCTTTTCCTAAAAAATCAGCACAAAACAAGCAGCCCGTGAAGTTGAATTTTACGATTTTATAAATGCCAAAAATCACCAAATCCACACTCTAAATTCGAAATCCAGTCAGTGCTTTGATCCAATTATTAAAAAACTATTCCCCTGGAAATTTCCCGAACGAAGTGATCGGGAGCTGATCATGACACCGGCCTTGTGGCCTAATGGACAAGGCGTCGGACTTCGGATCCGAAGATTGCAGGTTCGAGTCCTGCCAAGGTCGCGTATATTTTGCTATTAAAACTACACGATTCCCCGGGGGAACATGGACAGTTCGAATGAAAAAAATTTGCTGGGTTCAGTTGCAGTAGGCAGGTTCAAAAACGGCCCAATGACCACTTTGGAGTAAGTCAAAATTCGTAATTTGTTTAAGTGCTATATGGCTGTTGTATGTTCACAGAAGAAAATCAAAATTAAATTACAAACACAATAATTTTTAATTTTGGCTATTTTTTGTTTCCACGAACATCAAAGACAGCGCGGATAATCGAAATAGGATACCGTGTTAGTGATTTTAGCGGGATGTTCGCAAAACAGCCATGCGGGTTTTTCGATCCTGAGCTGTGCATACCTTTAACTGAAACCAAGCACTTATTTTTGCGCTTATACATTTGATAATTTAATCATTTTTTTCTGAATTTTTTTTTTTTTTTTGCTTTTTAAATTTCTTATTATTGTATTTAATAAAACGGGATTTTTGATAAGTAATTAAAATACATCGAGCTTTCTTAACAGAGCTGTTTCTGAAGAAGGGTAGCATCGATAGTCTGGACAGTAGGCAGTTGTTTTTTTTTTCCTTCGAACTATTTCTGAGTGCCTTTGTTTTTTTGCAGGGAATGTAAAATAGTTTGGGAGGGAGGAAGGGACAAGGCAGGATGATTGTGATTTCTGATTTGAGATAATCAAATAAAATCCGTTGTTTCTCATGATTCAACGCCCCCAGCTAGTCGGTCTTGCTAAACAGAATCCAGTACCACTGATAAATTTAACTATCCTTCACATTTGTGTTGAGCTACTGTTATTCGGGTTTCACCCCATGGGAAGCGGAGTTTCATAGTGCGTCGCAAGGGCTGCCACACCTGGCAAGTACTAAAATTCGACAGCAGTTGCTATAAATCGGTTTTCCAGCGCCATACACGATTTGCGAAGTTTTTTGTGAGCGATGTTCAGGGAGGTGTACTGCGGGTCCCGTTCTGGGCACCGGGAAGGGGACCGTGGTAACGGTAAGGAATGTATACGACTTAATGGACCGAGGGGTTTCTTGCATATTATGCACCTGACTACCTTTTCGCATCTAGCTACCCCTTTTTCTTTTTCCTTTTTCCCTTTCCTTGCTGTGTTTCTATTCAACCTTAATTAAGTGGATTAAGGGCTACAGGGCGTGGGTACTTTGTCGATTGGTTAGCTCCCGTATATCGGAAGGAATGGGTGATGGATGGAAAGGAGGAGGAAGTGTGATGCTTTTTTTTGCCGCGGCAAGCCTGGTGCATTCCAGCCCTGAATTGCATCAATTATCATGTATTTTCGAGCGTCAAATGTCGGGTTTCTTGTCGGCATAATGTCTCTTCGCGGGGTAAGAGCGATGATGAAGGTTCTCAACTGCACATGACATTTAAGTCCAATCCCTCTCTGTTCTGCTATTTCAGTGACTGAAAGTAGTAGCGTTCAACATGTGCATGTACAACGGCTCTGTCTGTGTTTATAGCTAAGGGATGAAACACAGCGGTTGCACTAGTAATCTTTCATCGTCACATGTGATACCCTGTTCCGGCTATCTCGGTCCTTAGCGGTGATATCCTGAAGCAATCATATAGCTTTGTGGAATTCGTCTGGGGCTGGAGCTGGTAATTGTTTCAGGCGGATAAACCCATGCCCCTGGGGTTGTTAGAGCGAAGGACGGCGCCTGGTGGCTGGCGAGACGAACGTCAGTACGCCACACCGTTGTTTAGGCGAAGTTTGAGGAGGA